ATAGGAGCAATGGCAGAGAGATAGAACATGTCATATAAGTTAGATTAAGACTTATTCATATTAATTTTCTGCATGACACCCTAGTGCCATATATTGAATATGTACTGATTAAAATTAATTGATGACAATAATAATAGCAATGATGACAGTACTATGTCATTTAAGATTCCATTGATCATTCCACCTGAGGCTGGAAAAAGCATCTAAAATATTACTAATTTTTGCCTAGGTTTTACTCCCTATAAAATAAAAGGGAAACAGAATGTAATTATCACACAATAGAACTCTATACCATAGGGTGAGAATAGGATCTTAAAATCAAGAACATGATAAAATTGTCCACATATAATAAACATTACAATTTTCCAGATATAGTAAGTCAATCAACAGATATATGTTGAGTCCTAGCTAATGACAAGGAAAAATAGAGGAATTAAAGGCATATAATGGGATCAGACCCCTGGCAAAATGAGGTATATTAATTGTACTAGGTACCAAGATAAAGAGGATGAGAGAGGAACTCAGAATTCCTGCATTCCCTTAGTATGTATCATAGAAGCTCCCTTTTTCTGATGACCTGTACAGGCTCTTTTTTATATTCTTTCTAAACCTTGTGATGGAGTACTTAACCACAAAATCGTCACTGCAATACAAACTCTTTGTTAATAAATATTTATTAGATTAAAAATTACTTGGACTGTATAAAGATGTCTTGTATCAACATCTGATATAGCAATTTTTTATTTTTTTTTTAGCTTTTTGGTGAGGCAATCAGGGTTAATTGACTTGCCCAGGGTCACACAGCTAGTGTTATGTGTCTGAGGCCACATCTGAACTCAGGTCCTCCTGAATCCAGGACCAGTGCTCTATCCACTGAACCACCTAGCTGCGCCTTTCATATAGTTATTTTGCCAATCACTCCTGACTCAAAACACTATAGAATTATTTCACATGCTCACCGCCCACCACTGCACATTTTACTTCCTGTTTTTTTTTTTTATGTGTATATTTTTAAAGTTGTATTTGGAGGAGGGGAGAATATGTGAATATGTATTTACACAGTACCTACCATGTACCTGGTGCTGTGCTAAACATTTTACAAATATTATCTCATCAGAACCTCATAACATCCCTGAGAGAGGGAGTGAGGGAAGAGGAGAGAGAGAGAGAGAGACAGAGAGAGAGACAGAGAGAGAGAGAGAGAGAGAGAGAGAGAGAGAGAGAGAGGAATGCTATTACTCTACCACTTTACAGTTGAGGAAATCAAGGCAAATGGAGGTTAAGTGACTGGCTAGTCAGTGTCTGAGGTAGGATTTGAACTCAGGTCTTCCTGACTCCAGGCTCAGCACCCTACCCACTGGGCCACCTAATTACCACTGATATATTTTGTGTTTATAAACAAACATTTCTGTATTGCCCTCACTCCATCCGAGCTCTCCAGTGGCAAAGTAATTAAGCAAAACCAAGAATATAGTAACCTAATCTAAAATATATGCAACATTCCACATCCATCGCACTTCCCCACCTCACTCTATTTTTAAGTGTTTTTTAAATTAATATCAACTTATTTTCTCTTGTTTTATTCCCAAATAAAAAAGAAAACAAATTCCTCATAAAAAAGATTATTTGTTCCCTTGTGCTATTTGTCTTATTAAAAATAATTGACTTTCTGTTGTAGTTGTGTGTGTGTGTTATTATATTTATACATCGGTGTTCTCTGCTTATATTATGACCCAATGGTTCTAATTTAACAATCTCATAGATGTGACTTGTGGAGTCATCCAATGTACAAAAATCTACAGTTTTGAACATGCTGATGTTCTCCTACTGTCTTCCTTTGCTCTGTTATTCACCTACTCTGTGACTTTGGGCTTATATTTCATCTCTATATCTCAGTTTCCTCATCTGCAAATGAGGAAGTTAAATTAGATAATGGACAAAGCCCCTCTTTATTCTAAATCTATGATCAGCGTCCTTTTTATTGCAGGAATCTTAGAATTGCAAGCAATTTTAAAATGTCAGGAAAAACTAATGAAATAAGACTTCTGTTGATGACATAAATTAGGCAATAAAACAATAATTAAACCTTAAATCTGCATCTGTGCACAGAAACAGGATTTTAAACAAAGCCAGTTTCATTTCACATTGATTAAGGTTATCAGTAGACAATATCCCTTTGAAGTACTTCAGGACTCCAGAAAGGTTAATATAGAGTCAATCTCCCTTATCATATGTGAAGGGAAATGAATCACACATCCTGTTTATTGGCCCAAACTGGAAAACATAATCTCTAGAACCCAGGGTCATTTCTGTGCATTGATCAATTTTATGTATATATATATATATATATATATATATATGTATATGTATGTATGTGTGTATATATGTATATATATATACACATATATACATATATACATATATGTGTGTGATTGTATAATATTTACATTCATAAATAGGTATACATATATATTTTTCTCCTACATTCCCATAATTCACATAAATATATTATATGTGAATTGGAATATTCTCTACTCATATATTATAATATGTAAGAGTAGAGAATATACTGTACTCCTAGGCAGCTAGGTGGTACGATGGATAGCTTAATGGATCAGTATTCAAGAAGAACTGAGTTCAAGTCTGGCCTCAGACATTTACTAGCTATGTGATCCTAGGCAAGTCACTTAACCTTTTTCTGTCTTGGTTAAGCCCACTGTAAAATGGGGATAATAATATCATTAACCTGTCAGGGTTGTTGTGACGATAAAATGAGAAAATTTTCATAAAGTGCTTAGAAAACCCTAAAACGCCATATGAATTCTAGCTATTATCATTAACACTCATATATTGTGTAATATATAAACATGTAGATGTAATATGTATAAAACAGCAGCAATACATCATATACAGTATCCTAAATGAGTGGAGTTTGAGCTTTAAAGTCTTGCACTAAGAGTTTTGGGACATGTATATTAGCATAAGAATGTATTATAGATAAGATATATTGTATGACTACATTAGACTAAGAATATATTATATTAGAATAGGATTATAGTACATATATGTATCAGAGTAGTGACATAAATTAGATATAGATATAAGTATTTGTAGATTGTAGAAGTATGGGGGGAGAGACAGAGACAGAGAGCCTTTATATATAATATATCTCTGATCATGACATGGACATGAAACTGTTCTAGAGATTATACCTTCAAGTATGACCCTGATGACAGGATGCGTGATTCACTAATTTCAGAGAGGCTCATCACCTTAAGCTGCCTTCCATCAGATGAATTCTGTGGCAACTCATTTTCTTAAAAGTTCTCTCTGCCCCATCCTAAGCTGACTAACATAATTCACAGCCAGGTTTCATGATTTGTGCATGTTCACTGTGTTATCTGGAAGTGTAGCCAGGTCTGGAAGCAAGGCCTCATGATGCACTATGCACCTCAGCATTTTTCCCCTATGACACAGTGACTTTAGAGATTAATCAATTGATCAATAAACATGTATTAAGCACCTACTATGTTTTGGGCACTATGATTGTACAGATTTCTTGGTATTGCTCTATCGGATTTGGTGACAAAACATTCAAAAGTATCACTTTGGAGTATATTTCCTGTTACTCAAAAGCAAGGTATCTTTCTCTTTGTTTAAGTTTCTAAAAGTAAAGCTATATGCCAAGGTTTGAGTAACCACAGGACAGGACTTCATTAAGCAGGACTGCAACCGAGTATCCGAGAATTCATGTGTAGGATATATTTAAGACAGATCAGGGCAGGTAATGGGTCAAGCCCATGAAATCAGATAAAGTGTGAAGGAACAAACAGGTCTCAAAAGTCAAAGCAAAGAAGGACTTAGATTCCATGAAATCAAGTAGTTCAAGACAGAGGCACTAGAAAGTCAGCAAAAAATGCTGAATGTGGGTTTACAAGGGCCTACTGGTAGATAATTAATCATAGGCAAAGGGAGAATTAAGGGCTTGCAGATTCATGCTGCTTCTGATTTGTGATGGGTTCTAGATTGCTTCAGAGGGGACATTATATGCTATGTGTAATGCCAGATATACAGCAAGAAACTTGTCCCAGCCCATCTTGTCTCATTTCCTTTGGCCAAATTCCCTTATTGCCAAGGAAGACAAGAGAGCTAGTCTGCTTGAAATAGCAAGTTCCTTTGGTTAAATTCATTCCACCTGAAGGCAGAGACAGATACTGTAAACATTTTGTTTTATCTGGTTTGTAGTCTGTGAGTACCGCATATTTGCTTTTGGGTTTGGAGAAGACTGAGTTGTGGAGAAAATGTTGAGACTTCATTTACACGATGATTCCCATGATGATATGCTGGAGTTCTTACCAGTCTCATAAAAATTAGTACCACCATCTGTTATTCCAAAGCCAGGGACAGAGTAAAAATATCCAACAGATTCCAATAGGTATTCTCTAAGCAGCCTTTTTTCCCCCACCCAGTAAAGAGAAATGCCCACTCTCTAAAAGATGTGATTTTTACCTTGAGTATCAAATTTGTCTTCTCCCTCCCTTCCCTATTTCCTCATCCTGCCAATTTGTTATGGGTGTTCAGTGGTGCAAATATTTGATTCTCTACTGGAAAGATCTTTGAATACAAATGACTCACTGGAAATTAAAATGGAACATAAATGCCACAGGCTGGATGCTACAAACACAGAGGAATCCACTGAAGCTAGCAGAGTAGAACCACCCAATATGTCTTGATGGTACCTGATTTGCACCCTGGAGGTATCACATGGCCAAGCTCTCTTGTCAGAGCTCTTGTAGTGATACTTTAAATTTAATTGAATTTTCAAGAATGTCAGTTTTTAGTCATTGTTGTTGATGGCTCAATATAGAAGGTTCCTTAAAAATGCATGGCTATCTATCACTATGTGTATAATGTGTCTGGTGATGTAAATATTAATTACTCGAAGAGTTAATTTGAGTCCTGCTGATCTAGACTTCTTTTTTTTTCCTATCTTCTCACAGGAAAAGAAGAATATATTGCAACCTTCAAAGGATCAGAGTACTTCTGCTATGACTTGTCCCAAAATCCCATACAAAGCAGCAGCGACGAAATAACCTTGTCATTTAAAACTCTTCAGAGGAATGGACTGATGCTTCACACAGGGAAATCAGCTGATTATGTCAATCTTGCCTTGAAAAATGGAGCCGTCTCCCTGGTCATTAATTTAGGATCAGGGGCCTTTGAAGCACTGGTGGAACCCGTGAACGGAAAGTTTAATGACAATGCCTGGCATGATGTGAAAGTAACCAGGAATCTGCGTCAGGTAACAGTACAATGGATAAGACTAACTGACTTTGTTTCCTGCTACAGCTGTCTGTGTGGTGCCTTAAAACCTAACAACATGATACTAGACTTGTGGTTTTCACTTACAAATTAGCTTTTTAAAAATTATTATTATTTCTACCAAGATGGATCTCCCTGCCATACTTGAGCAGGGGCATATCTAGAAAGTTCTGGGGCCCAGAGGCTGTTTCATGCAGGGGGATAATTGCAGTTTTCCAGGGGGTTGCAGGGATTGCTCAGTAATTTCCCAACTCTGGTTTTTGTGATGGTGTATTTTTTTTTTGTATTGTTGTTATTGTTGTTGTTGTTTTAACAGTTCCATGGGGATCATCATGAAGCATGCACATGGGGGTCATTGAAACTCAGTTCCTTTTTTGTAATCAGAGAACTGGTTTTACAAATGGTTAGGTTTGGGGGGGGGTTTGTGTGTTTTTACTCCCTTTCTTTCACTTTTTTCTTCTTCCTCCAAAAGTGGGGGAGAAATCAGACTGATGTCCTGAAGCAGGAATCTGGGATTTTGCATATGGCCCAGTAGTATTACTTTGGGGAATTTTTATTTCTCCCCCTCTAAATGAAACCCCAAAATAAACCAGTGGACTGTTCAATCGATTTTGTCTTTAATGGTGTCTCCCCAAATATATTAGATCCTAGAAAAAACATAAATTTCTTGGTTTAGCTATGGGTTCATATATACTGTATATTTATCTTAAAGGCACAAAAATACAGTATATGCCATATGTGGTATGTGATCAGAGTAGCATTAAATGGTGTGTTTATATATTATTGCGCAATAATTTTTGGTTATCATTTGATATTTTACACATATTAAAATGTATCATTTTGTTAAGTGTTGACAGTGACTATTTTCTGCCATACATGCCTCTTTTAAACTAATATCCTTTAACATATTTGTTGTTTCTCTAAACAGTTGCAGATTGACTGGATTATCTCTGGTTTTCCTTTACTAAAACAGCCGTCTGTTTCTGAGCTGTTAACTAACCTTTTCTCTCCACTTCTTTAAAACAAAACAAAACAAAACAAAACAAAACAAAACACGGACTTAACTATATGAGCTAGGGAAATGGGAACATCTTTAGGGACATAGTGTTGTTCTAGTCAAGGCAGAGAAGTCCACCCAAAGTGTTTTTGAGAGCCCCAAATGTCTTTAAGATGTTTTCTGTCCATGCATAGGTAGTCCAGCATGCATCATACTGCCCTGGGAGATTTCGCAGCCAGTGATACAGTCATAGCAAAGGTTCCCTAGTGTTCCCATCTCTTTGGTTCTTGTGCTATTTCTCAGATGCCAACCAAGAGATCCAAGACATCACTAAAGAGAAGCAGCAAAGAGAAATTGGGTTGGGGGCACCAGCTTTCTAGATCTGCCTTTGCTCAGGTTACCCACCAAACGATAAATTGGTAGCTCAAAGGAAAACTGTTCTTGTACAGTTGGGGTGCATGTGTGGCAGGGCAGATACAAAATTCCATTCTACTCATTCTATGTATCAGGATCTTTGCTTTGTTTCATTGCAGTAAACTGTGATCCTAAAGTCCATCAATATGACCGAAAGACGTTTTGGAGTTGAGGAGGATTCCTTGTATGCAGTAAAATTGAGTACTAGGGCATTGCCAACCAATTCCTACTGATTTGCTGGGGGAGGGGAGGGTGGGGGAGGGGTCATTTGGGGACTTAGGGCAAGCAGTGGTCAGCTGATGAGCTTTAGGCCTTTGGATCCCTCTAGCCATTTTAAACATCTGTCAGTTGTATTCAGTGGAAGGAGGATGGAGGGAGCATTGCATTGCATTGCCATATGTCTGTTTCTGTTAAGAAGTGAGTTTATGAACTATGATCTCAGGACAAATCTTATTGCTATAACCTCCGTGGGAGGCCTATTTGTTAGTCTGCTTTTTTCTTGTAAGATTTTTTTGCCCTTTTTCTATGTTACTAACATGCTTAATAACTAACATGCCATTCATGGAATGTTTCATTCTACTAACCGTTACCTTAATCAAAAAATGTACTAACATGGTAGAGACCATCATATTTTTTAAGTAACAATCGTTATTCTGTTCACAGTTTTTAATTTCCTTTCTCCCCCCTTCTCCACAAAGCACTCAGGCATTGGACACGCTATGGTAAACAAACTACATTGTTCGGTAGATATCATTCTAATTGTTTCTTATTTTGGGTTTGCCGTGTGTTTTCTTTCTTTCTTTTAACTGTAGACATCATTAACAAAAGAGGAACTGCGGTTGGTACTCTTCTGCTTACTTTGGACTCCTTCTTTCCATCTGTTGTTGACCTCCTTATTTTTTTTCCTGTTCCTGTCAACTTCTGTTTTCCAACTCACCTGTAGGGGCATCGTTAACGTTTCGAACGTTTGCATCCAGCTGTGGTTAACGAGGGATAAGACTAAAATGGTGGCTGGCCCGAGTGACCGCAGGCTTAGCCAGTTTCTAACCATTCATAATGCATGGCATGAAGATTTGGTTTGGGAATGATGGAGATGCCACAATCATTCATCTTTCGGTCATCACAGAGCAATTTTGTTCCTTTGGTTCTCCCTGTTTTCTTTTCTTTTCCTTTTCTGAACTGTACTGTACCTCGAGCATGTGCACATCAGCGTGGGCCGCTTCCTCTGGTTGTTTTGCTTCCTTTTTTTCCTTTGGCATGAAGGTAGACACATGCATGCTAAATAGCTGCTGCTCTATAGTGCAAATAGTGATGTCGCTGAATATAGCTTGCGCCCTTTATGTTAACAAGGTGCACGTTGTGATTAGTCAATGACAGACAACTAAACTTTACTAATATGTACACCAGCAAAACTAACCTAGGAAGCATTTTACTAACACCATTTTTGTGTCTGCTAAATAACTTTTTAAGTTGCAAATAGGGACTATGCTGACACTAGTTCAACAATCAGCTAAGTCTTTAACTAGCTTAGATCTTGTAGGGATAGTTGACTAGAATCCAAGACTAAACCTCAAACAGACATGAAAATGGGTTCCACCATAGGTCTCCAAAAACAAACAAACAAACAAATAAATAAATAAGAACAAAAAATGAACCGAAAAAAGAAAAAAAAGAAAAAAACCAAAAACAAACAAAAACAAACAACAAAAAAAAACCAAACTCAAAATACAAAAGCCAAAAAAAAAAAAAAAAAAACACAAAACAGGCATACCCCAGGATTGCAGTATCTAGGTCTGAGTATAGCGTGTCCTTTCCCTGTGCTTTGTTATCTAGGTGACAATATCAGTGGATGGAATTCTTACCACAACGGGCTACACCCAAGAAGACTATACCATGCTGGGTTCTGATGACTTTTTCTATGTTGGAGGCAGTCCCAGCACAGCAGACCTCCCAGGGTCACCAGTCAGTAACAACTTTATGGGCTGCCTCAAGGAGGTAAATATCACCCATCACTCAAATTGTCACTGATTCATTATCCCATTATTACAGGTTCCGGAAATGAAAGTGTCTTTGCTGAAGAATGTTTGACAAATGATGTTTCCTGAGGTCAATGTCACAACCTCAAATGCTATTTAATACATTGCTCATGTGGGATTAGAGGGAGAGATATAAACTTGTTAAGGAAATGTGTATGAGCTCTTCCCTTCGGGAACTTGTATGTAATTCACAATTATAGTATTTGGGGCAGCAGTGTATTGGTTATGAAAGAAAAGAGAGCAAAGTGAGATAACAGGGTGAGTGGTCAGCAAAATGTCAGGTTCATTTCCACTAATATGCCTTAGGTGAAGCTGTTACCAAGCATCATAGTGACTTCTAATAGCATTATTCTTCAAGGATGGGAAGGAGGAAGGGGGAAGAAAGTGAAAAAGGCAAGTTGGTACAAAATAGGGACTATTAAAATACCATCAAGTAATTTAGTTATATTTATACATGCAAAATATAACATGATGAAAGCTAAACTCATAGCTATTTGATTACATATATGAATAAGACTAGTTTGTGCCCCCCTTAAAATCAGTCAGGCTGCTAACTATCCATCCCCTCACCCTACAGAGTCAGAGTATTGACAGTAGCCCCTGACAATGACTGTTATTAGAGGGTGGAAAATGTAGTACTATGATAAAAATTATTTTTTTAATGAACATTTGTCTTTTTCATCAGTCTGATTTCATTTAGACCTGTCCTTTTTTCTTCTAGTTCCTAGAATGAGAGGTCCCTGTTTGATTGTGTGGTGAATATTTGACTATGTGTACTTTGACAGTTTCAAGTTTGGTGATTTTGAGCTTATGGGTGACTCTATCTTGTTGCCATCTGTGTATGAGGCTCATTTAGAGGGAAAATATTTTTATGTGAAATTGAATCAGTGAGGGATGGGAGGGGTGGCACCACGAATAGCAAAAATATTGGTCCAGATGCAATCATAGCTGCAGGCAGAAATCTGCCTTGAGTCATTTCTGCTATTTTACATTCACAATATTCTTTTCTGTTGTCTTATGAAAACTGTAGCTTTATTAGAAACAACTCTGGGGATCTTCAAAATGGCATAAATTCAACAAGAACAAAGGAGTTCATTTCTCTAAGGCCGACTCTCGATACATAGGGAGAAAAAACTCAAAATACTATCCTAATTACAAATTCTAGTGTGGATTGTCCCCTAAGTGTCTACTATGTAGCATGAGTGATGGATTTTTAATCAGATGACCTAGGTCCTGCTCATAGCTCTACCTGTATGACCTTGGCCACGGCTTTTAATCTTGTTTCCTTTCCCATAAAAGGAAGTGATGGAACTAGATGACCTTTCACTGCTAAATCTTCAGTCCTTTGAACTAGCACTGAGCTTGGTATTATAGGAGATAGTAAAATAAACAAACAGATCTGGACATGGTTATGGATTAGGCACTGAAGAAATTTATGTTATTTGGGAAGAGAAAATATGAACAACCCTAATTTAATCACTGAATGATATTCAACTACATAGTGACTACTACATCATATGACAAATCCATTGAAATGAGCAAAGCTATTGCTTCAGTTTGGCCTTAGAAAAAGAGAAACAATTGAATGGGTAGAGTGGAATAGGGTTACTTTTGATGAATAATGAATGAAAGACATGGGAAGAGCGGGCAGGAGGCGTGGTTTAGATACCTTCAAAGGGGTTACAACAACCTATCAATCTGAACAACTGAAACTACACCTGGCCTATCTCTTCATCCATCTTCACTTCTCACTGACTTGAATCCAGATATCTTTACTTTCTTATTTCTCCATTTACCTTACATAGGTAGGTGTGACAGAGCAGTGCACAGTCAAACTTGAATGGTAGAGCAGAGAAGGTCCCTGGCAGGAATAAGGCTAAACATTTAATGGGAACCTCCCACAGGAATATCCTTAATCCTTAATGATGAATAAGAAGATATGGGGATTATCTTCCTGTATACCTTAATCTACCACTGATGCCACAACTCATAGTGTGATCTTGGGCAAATCACTTAAATCCTCTGCATTTCAATTGTTTCTGCTGTAAAATGATGGGACTCTGTCATGGAATCTAAGAATCAATGATTTTAGTTGGCCATATTTTCACTTTATATATTATAAAAACCACATGTACACCTTTTACTCTCAAAAAAGAGTACTTTAATCAATCAGCTGGGTTTCCCTAAACTGATGATACTGTCAGAACAAATGATCTTTTCCTGTTTCTACCATTTACCCTGTTATATAGTAAGACAATTAACTGTCTATAATAGGTATAATCAAAACAATCCTAAATCCATTCTGTTACCATGTGCTGACATAGCCTGGTTAACCATGGTCTCTATCCATTTTTTGTTATTCCTCCCTCTGTCCAGTCACCCATCAACTCTGGCAGACTTACAAATACAAGATAGACCAAGCAATGAACAAAGAAGTACGCCCTATTAACGGAGAGCATTGTATTGACAATTTCAACAATCACGCACTGAAATACTTCTGTGTCCTCTGTAGAGTTAGGATTTTTAAAAAAGAAAGAAGGGAATGAAACCACTCCTCTTTATTGACCATGCACATTGAATTTTTCTCTCTCTTACCACCTCTGCCAAATGTTAGCAGCCAGCTCCACCTACTTTCTCTTTGACTTTTGTAATTGGCTTCATGTAACTTCCTCCTTCCCTATTAAGGGTAGCAACAGCAGTCAGAATTGCCCAATAGATCAAAACATGGGACAACTTCAGAGTCCTTTGATCCTGAGCAATTTCCATCTTTGTCTGACTTTAGTCTATTTAGAAACCCCCACTCTTCCTTAACTTTAAGCCTAAGCATGGAATAAAGCCTCAATAAAGTACCATGGATTTGAAGTTAAATCATATTTGTTCAGATTAGTGAGCTTTGTAAAGTTACTGAAGAAAAAGAAAGGGAAGAGGCATCTAATTTTTTTTAGAGGAAAAGGTTTCTATGACATGAACTTTATAACAAAGCATGTATAATTCTGATATCATCTCTCTTAGCCTGCACAGTTAAAATCAAGTCTGTTTGGGGATGAATCCAGCTTTAGCTTTTTCTTTTTCTTGAACTCCAATTAGGCCACATTCCAGAATCTATGAAAAGTGCTTTTTGACTTTCAATGAACCAGCAAACACATTCATTTCAGGTTATGTGGGTCTGTACCATATTCCCATTTGCTTTTTCAGTCTGGAAATAGTGTCTGAACTTTACAATCTTATCTAAGATGAGACTGAGTTACAAAGAAAAGAGCAAAGGTATTGGAGATGAAGTGGATCAGAGTTGAATCTTTCTGCTTTTCTCTCGCTATGTGACCCTGGTCAAGTCACACTTCCTTGGGCCTCATTCAGCTTCCTAATATATGAGGGTTAAGACTACATGGCCTCTGCAATCCCTTCCAGTTGTGTATCTATAACCCAATGATTGGTAATTTAATATGTGGCTCTGTTTCTGTGTGAAAAGGTGGTCATCTTTCCATATTGGTATAGAAACATGACGTAACGAAAGCAGAAGAGAATCAGAAGGCCTGAGTTTGAACCTATCTTTGCAACCTACTTTAAAAAATCACTACATCACTAGGATTCCAGTTTTGCCTTCTTTAAAACTAAGTGGTTAGACAAGATGACAACTAAAGTCTCTTTCAGTTCTAACATGCTGATATTCTGAAATCCATTTACTAAAGTAGACATTAATTTAAGAGAATTACCACATATTATTGACACTTTAGTTTACACCCTTATCCTTTCAAGTTTTAGGAATTAAAAGTAAATCATTGATTTATGTCAAGCTAATCCATAATGCGGCAGCATTCTTTCTTTATAGCTTTTGTTCCTTCTGGATTCAGCATTTAACTTTATCAGTGCTGGAGTAAGATACAGGACTTAGATGTATAGAAACTAGCAGACCTTTCTCCTCAGTGGAAATTTCCTCATCTCTTAAAGTGATTCTAAAATTTCAAAATAAAAGAAAACTTTTTAAAAATGGAAATAGGGAAAATGTCAAAATGACCTCTATATTGTACCTTCCTTACAATGGAATTTTTTTTTAAATTATCAGAGAATATCAAGGGTGAGTGATCAAAGTATTTTTAAATGACAAATTAATCAAAAGACATTTGGATAAGTGGAACTTTTGTCTCGAATCATTTCCAAATGATTTTCAGTGATGGAAAATGAGGAAAACTCAGAAAAATAATGGAAATAATGATTAAGATTATTTTCAAAAAGCAATACACCTTCAAAATTGGTTGAACTATTGGACTTTTTTTGAAGCCTATTTTCCAATAACCAACGAGTAACAACAGAACCATTTAAAAACATATTTGCAAAGCAATGGTTTTGGCACCAGGAACTCAAAGAACAAAAAAAGAAACGAAAGAAAGAAAGAAAGAAAGAAAGAAAGAAAGAAAGAAAGAAAGAAAGAAAGAAAGAAGGAAAGAAAGAAAGAAAGAAAGAGAGAGAGAAAGAAAGAAAGAAAGAAGGAAGGAAAGAAAGAAAGAAAGAAGGAAAGAAAGAAAGAAAGAAAGAAAGAGAGAGAGAAAGAAAGAAAGAAAGAAGGAAGGAAAGAAAGAAAGAAAGAAAGAAGGAAAGAAAGAAAGAAAGAGAGAGAGAAAGAAAGAAGGAAGGAAGGAAAGAAAGAAAGAAAGAAAGAAAGAAAGAAAGAAAGAAAGAAAGAAAGAAAGAAAGAAAGAAAGAAAGAAAGAAAGAAAGAAAGAAAGAAAGAAAGAAAATAGCCCTTTTGTTGGAGAAACTTATGGGGGGGGTCACAACATGTAAACAAATAAATAAATATGAGATAAATTGAGAAGTAGAAAACTACCAATTAGGAGGATTGGGGAAGTTGAGTTGAAGCCTGAATAAATCATATAAAAGTCTTTGAAACTTTCCCTAGATTTTAATTTAATCAACAATGCTCAGAAAAGTTTTGCCTTGTATGTCTTCTTTTGCATTGAG